CGAAAGAAATTCAGTCCTTCGACAAAGTGCTGCTCTTGACAGAACTCAAACCCCAAACGGGATGCGAGGAATGACCAGACCGAGCGTCCAGGTTCAGGATCGTTGTGGATCCGTTCAGTGATCAGAGACGACGTCCCGCACAGCGAAAGCTCCCTCTTAAAGTCTGCTCCCCCTCCCGCAAAGGGTTTCCTGTAAATATGGAGCCCAATCTAACTGCCGCTTTTTGACCCTCGTTCACGGTTCTCCGATGCCCTATTTTTGCCGAATCGGACCACGAGAGACCCACAGCGGGTACCTGTCCCCCCGCGTACACTCAGCAGGCGGGTGATTGGCTCCCCGGCGGCTCGTACCTGCAAGCGGAAGCTGAACGGGAGGCTCTGCGAGCTCCACGGGTCACACAAGCCCAGACAGACGCTCACTGAACCTCAAAGGAGGAGCTGAAGAATGCAGAGCGACGGAATAAGGGCGTTGGAAAAGAGGCGGATAGGGGGAGAGAGAGGGAGAGAGAAAGAGAGAGGGAGGGAGCGAGAGAAGGAGCTCACCTCGTCTCACGCAGAGGCAGAACGTGAACAAGCTTCGGAGCCGTGTGCCAAACCACCTCCCGAATCGAGCTCTACTGAATGAGCATCTTAACACTCTACATCACAGCTGTCTCTAAGGGAACGGCAGGAGTCACATGATACAGCACAGCCAATAGCATGTCTTCTCTGGACGAGACTCGGCAGCACACCTTACAGAAGAGAGGCAAAGCCACAAGGGGGCCCGATTGCATGAGAGGAGGCCCCCCTCCCCCGATTAAGTCCGTGTCCTGATGCACGGCAGCCTCGCACCGCTTCCCAAACACTGCTAATGCTTCAGCCCCAAAACATGGAGTGATTTACATGAAAGGAAGGAGGAGAGAGGAGTGAAGGAGCAGGGACGCACACCAGCGGGGACCTGCAAGACCGCACCAGAACCTGAGACGTACCTTCTGTCAGGGAGACACACAGCTCTGAGCAGGAGACCCTCACATCACACCTGCTTCCTCTATTCCATCAATGTTCATCTTTTGGGCTGGTTTGGCCCATAAAGCCACAGTGAAGTCCTGCCTATTCTTTACCCAAAAAAATCACAGTGGCCATATTGCAAACACTTCCATCGTCAGGAAGAACTGACAGGTCAGACACTGATCCTCAGCTGGAAATAATACTGGAGCAAAATCACAGGCAGCCGGAGCAAGTCAGGGGGCACAGGTGAGAAGGGACAGGAGCCTGAGACCGGCTGCCATTGGCGGGGCACGGCCCACTGTGAAACCCAGCTGGGAGGCATGACCTTGGAAGATGTATCCCCCAAAAGGGGGCATGCTTCCAGAAGAATGCCCTCAGGAGGCGTGTCCTTGAGAGGGGCATGTACTCCAGAGGAACGTCCTCAGGGGGCGTGTCTTTGAGAGGGGCATGTACTCCAGAGGAACGTCCTCAGGGGGCGTGTTCTTGAGAGGGGCATGTACTCCAGAGGAACGTCCTCAGGGGGCGTGTTCTTGAGAGGGGCATGTACTCCAGTGGAATGCCCTCAGGAGGCATGTCTTTGAGAGGGGGTGTGCCCCAGGAGGCGTGTCCTTGGGAGCATAACTGACAGCACCTCCAATTATCACTCTGGAGTTGGTATCGTATCAGACACCAAAAATTTCAAATGGTACGATACTATCATTTTGAAAAATTTGATACAGATGCTGTACATCTCTCCTGCACAGACCAAAAACACTAGCGTCACCTAGTGGACATTATGAATCTGGGTTTTGCGAAGAGACACAGTCACACGCATTTCACGGGTCTCTTGTGAAGAAGCTACACAGATGGAGGATGGAAACCACTGTTGTCCACTGGCCGCCTCTAGCTGATACACAGGGCAGCAAAAGTGAGATACGGCGTTAGTTTGGTATTAAACCAAACAACAAGGATTCAATCCACAGAGCCAACAGCCTCTATGCAATTGCTGCTACAATAAGGCAGTGTTTCCCAATCCAGTTCTTGAGGATCCACAGACAATCCATGTCCAGCTTCCGCCCAGACAGTCCAAGTTTTTGCTCCCTGTTGGTAGCTGGGAGGAACCAAAAACATGGACTGTCTTGCTGGTCCCCAAGAGGATTGGGAAACCGTGATATAAGTAGTTTAAAGATCATCAGGTGTGCATGACAGATAAAAGCCACAACAGTGATGTAGTGTAGGGAATTTTACATTTGGTATTTTCCATGTTTATCTTACATGCTAGTTTATTCATATCGCTTTGCCCAGTGACAAATAGGCAAGACGATGAAAACAGCGGTTCCAATTCCAGTAACACAGTGGTTAGGGGGTGGGGCCGGAATGACGGGTCATTCAGGGCGCTGGGGGCACCAGGCAGCCTCGTCTGTCCGGCGGGACCCGAATCAGCCTCCGCAGTGCACGTATGTAGCCGGACATGTATGACACACGGCACGCATCTTGCAATGCGGAGAGAGCCCAGCTAAGAAGCACGGGGATGAGGTTTGATATCCACGGGAAGTGAATCTTCAAACCACGTTGGGGTGTAGAACATACACTGTGGAAGAACAGCTTCGGGGCGTTATAATGGGAGGAATGAAAAAGCAAGAGACTGACGGGGATGTTTGTGTGTCGCAGTCCTGAAGGAGAGGGGAAAAATAAAGCAAAAAAAATGTGCAAAGAGATGGAAGCCATTGCAACACGTCCCTTTGCTCAATAAGTGTTTATGGATGCATGGGTGGATGGATGGATGGATGGATGGATGGATGAGTGGATGGATGGATGAGTGGATGGATGGGTGGATGGATGGATGGATGGGTGGCTCTTTCTGTTAAACACACAGCAGGATTAATGGCCGACAAGAAGTTCAAAGAGGAGTGAGAGCCCAAAGGTGCCCAGAAGCCTGGTCATCCATCAGGACCTCATCTACAGTCAGTGTCTCCCCAAACCTCCAAGGAGAGGAACTTTACCTCCACATCACCAAATGCAAAGTCTGGGGGCCAAATTAAACTCACAGTCCTTTAGATGTGAGCCTACTGCACCGACCAGCCGAGCCCCCAAATGGGCACACAGGGGTACAGACCCGAATCCATTACCAAAGCTACATAGAGAGAGGTAGCAAAGGGCAGAACACAGTGTCTCGCTGGAAGGAGCGACAGACCACCGGCCAGCCACCGAACGGCTCTGGGTCGCTTCACTCTGTCCTGCAGATCACCATGAATTAACTGCAAATTCAGGCACTGAGAAACACCATCCCCGAAAGCCTCAAAGCCGAAATGCATCTCACTGCGAATAAGAAATCTCTCAAGAGGACTTTGCTCATAAAGAACACTGGACCTGAACACCAGCGAACCATATATTAAAGCCCGTTTCTCATACCAAATGCCTTTAATAAAATTCCTTCTGAGTTCTAGACAAATCAGACAAAGCCATGTGTGAAATTAACAGCACTGAAGATGATGCTGAAATATAAGGTAAATATACAGCAAATCTGGTCTGTAAAAATCATATTGGCAGGATTAGCTGAGAAGAGCCTAATCCAGCGATAGCTCAGCTCTTCAAAGTATATTACAGCCACTCCTCATTTAATGACCAAGTTCCAGGTCGATAAGTGCACACATTGGTCGCAAATGAGTTTATTACGGTCCTATTTCTGAATGGTCACTAACCAAGTCAGTATATGAGGAGCGATTGTACTTGATTCAAATTTTATTATAATTTTGATCATAAATGATGCCATATTCCTAATTGGGAACTGACAATATGAGCATCTGAAGCTCAGTCAATCAAGGCTTCAGGCCTTGA